CTACAAAGCACAACACAAACACAGAATAAACGCAAATGTCTATGTTTTAGTGGGTTTCGAACCTACGATCCCAGTGTTCGAGAGGGCGAAGATGGTTCGTGCCTGAGACCGCGGGGCCACTGTGATCGGCTACAATACTCTGGGCAGGAGATAAGCAGCTAAGTAAAATTTAGATTTAGGCTGCGTCTCTCGCTTGCTATCTGTTCGAAAGGACGTGAGTAGAGCATAGATACATTCCGGAACGGAAATACCTTAAGACGCGAACTCATAGCATAATTTGGAGTCCGTAGCTTCTTATAACTGAATATTTCTCTCTCCTCTCGCTCCCGCTTTGGAGCGGGATTTCTCAGTTTCATGGCCATTTTACAGGCTGTGGGGCTCCTTGGTCGGGTGATCAGCTCGACGCAAAGCCTCTACTTAAACACAAGACAACACAAACACAGAATAAACGCATACACACCAAATATCCATGTGTGGGATTCGAACCCACGATCCCGTCTTCCGAGCCGCTCGGCTGCCGTGACCAGCTAACTCAAAATGAACTCAAGATATTCACGATGTGCGCTGTGTGTGCTAGTTCTTTCACTCCAAGTAGCGTCCTTATTTGTGATCTCTATTTCTTCATTAATTGTGGCATAAATAGTTTTCGCTTTATAAAATATTAATAGGCCTCTAAACAGATACTGAAATTTTGAATTGTTTCATTTTGGTCCGTTACACTATCAATCACAAGGTTAATAGAAAGTCCGTCGAGTGTAACGGCCCCTGTGTGCTGTGTGCAGTACACAGCACACAGCACACAGCACACAGGAACATATCAAACCATAAGCCATACAACCTCAAGCTGACGTCTCCCATCTTTGGGATGAATTAACAAGGAGGAGTTCAGCATTTTATATCAAATATTTTAACATTTTAGCCTTTTAACTTAAAAATAGGTTCGGATGAAAAGTGAGAACTTGAGAGTGTACTCAACTATCTTAGCATGTTTTGTGCTTTTACACGTCAACATATTGTAGCAACGTCCACACGACAAACATAATTGTGAACATCAAAAACAGCGACAGTGTTTCCATAATTATAGCAAGTGCCTCTGATGATGGTTGTGTCAAACCGAAACATGTAAGGCAGAAATAATAATAAAAAGTGACTTACAAATTGTTACACTCGACGGACTTTCTATTAACCTTGAGATACTGAAAAATTTGCAATTTTATGGAAAAGTTTTAAAGATATTTGACGATGATGCATTAAGATTATTTACTTAGTCTTTGTCCATCCTCTGAGTTTTAGTACAACAAACCCAAAAATTTCGAAATGGGTTTTATATCTTTCTTCACATGGGCGAGGTATGAAGTAAGTCCAACAGAGGAGCCTCGCATGCATTCACCGCCATTTCTGTAGACTCGCGGTTGTTGTGTTACACACTAAGTACACGGGCAAAGGGCAAATAAACAAATTTGTACCTTGTTATTTTGTAATTTAATTTACGTTAAAATGCTGATCACAATGATGTCGGGTCTTAGGCACTTCCTGATTACGGTCACTTGAACCAGATCATGGTTTCGAATCCCACTTGAGGGATATAAGCGTCATTTATGTCTTTCATTTTACTGTTTAGGCAGAGGATCCCTGTCTACCAAGTTTTACCCAACGTGTATAAGATCTGTAATTGCAGAAGTTCTTTCTATATTACAACAGGTCAGGGGATCCGATTAGTAAAGACTGAAAACAAAATATATTAAATTTATGCTCAATAGAAGCCAACAAATGTGCAGAATTATTAGTGCATTTTAAGGCACTTTCAAGAGCCCTCTCTCCTCTCAAGGGCTACGGTTACTTGTGAAGCAGAAATGATCTGATGAAGCGGAATTATTTGAACCCGTGATACGTGGAGTACCTCATCTTGAGAAATTTACTGATACTGGGCTCGGAGACAGATGTCCCTGATGTGAAGAGGATTCAGGCTATTGAGCCCACCGTCAGCCTGGGCTAAGAATCGTGTCTACTGTTTATACTTTTAAATAAATTAACATTATGGGGCATGAATACATCTAAATAATATTAAAGAATACAATTCGTGTACTAAGGAAACAGATACTCTGCCTGTGAAATTCCAGTTCCCGTATGTTGAAGCAAGTGATTCATTAGTTTTAAGAGTTAAGGAAGATTAAAGAAATGTTTTCGAATGCCATTGCCGACTGTCACTGATCCTTTTGTGCATTAGCACTTGAGCTCAGGGCCACCGGAGCGGTCACCCCGTGTCGTCCCCAACACAGAAATAAAATTCAAATACTTTACTGAGAAATTTGTCTCTCCGAAATCACAGGAACGTTAATGTTCTGAGAAATGAGAGCCGAAACAAAAGAGTAACTGTAATGATCTGTTCTTTTTACTGACAGGGGCCTCTACGTTTTGATTGCACCTGGGCCCCCACAATTATAAATTCGGCCATGGTAACTTTCCCATGGGCTTCTCTTGTGCAGAGATTATAGCCTTTTGTCGGAGTAACCAGACTGCCGGACTGTTACGTCCTTAGAACGAGACCAACGCGCAGCGACATGTTAACACAGACTTGTCTTACTAATAGCCCCCAATCCTCGGTCAAGCTCCACGCCATATCACATAATTAATGTTGGGACTACGTTTTCGGAACAGCTTGTACATCTGGCTTTCCGTTTGCCCTCGCAGTAGATCCAGAGTACAGTGTTTGACTTATCAGGTAATTACCCAGACACCATCTGGCGGTGGCAGGGCAAGGCATGTCCCTTCAACCCCGCCCCACCCTTCCCAACCCAACGACCACGTCAAAACTACCATAACTTGTTCCGACTTCCAAAACGAATTTTCCAAACAGAATTCTAAAAACTTGAAATTATTGATAACTCGTAATTGCTAGAACAGGACTAATGTATGTGTTACACCGAAACTTAGTCGAGAAGTTGGGGAAAAGTCTTCCCTGTGCGTATCATATCGAATTTAATCGAAATGTTTAAAACGTGAAACAAAGTTGGTGCTGAAACTCTTATACATCATTCTTGCCTTTCTACTTTCATGTTTGTCAGCTAGAAACTAATGTACTAATCCTCGGTACAGGGTGGCTCTCTGGTGGTGGCTTCTGTGAATGTGACGCCATAAAATTTTGTATAAGCTCAGCAACGTTTCGAGAAGCTTACTGTCACCGTCTTCAGGGTCGAAGAGTAAACTCTTGATGGTTCTTACATAACTTATGTTCCGACTTTTATCCCTGTCGCCTTTTCACACTTGCTGTTTGCTTCCGCATTGACTTCCATCCTGAAACGTCGGCACGCGTCTATCCGTTTGCACGGTGTGACTTCCCAGAATAGATTGCCATTTAACATGGAACCACTCTTTACAGAAACTCCCCTTTGATCTACTGCAGTCTTTTCGCTTTTTGGATTCTCATGTCGGTGAATGATGATTTCTGTCTTCAGGGAAGTAATGCCGTGTAGTCCGTTAGAAACCCACTGATATTTCGGAGGGCCGTTTTGTCTCCATCTTCAGCCAAGCAAGAAACCAGCAAAACTCAGACGACAAGCAAAGCACCCCAGAAAATTGCACTCTATGTGAGCCGTTCCTCTTCGCGACTTCTTTCTCTATGGTCCGTTTGAAAATTGGATGTTATATACGAAATGGGTGGTACAGAACAGTAGATAAGCATGTGTAATGTTTTCTTTCTCTCTCTCTTCTCTTTTATTGACAATCAGACTGTACAGTCTGTAAGTCAATGTGCTGACTGGTGTACAATCTATAAGTCAATGTGCTGACTGGTGTACAATCTATAAGTCAATGTGCTGACTGGTGTACAATCTGTAAGTCAATGTGCTGACTGGTGTACAATCTATAAGTCAATGTGCTGACTGGTGTACAATCTATAAGTCAATGTGCTGACTGGTGTACAATCTGTAAGTCAATGTGCTGACTGGTGTACAATCTATAAGTCAATGTGCTGACTGGTGTACAATCTATAAGTCAATGTGCTGACTGGTGTACAATCTGTAAGTCAATGTGCTGACTGGTGTACAATCTATAAGTCAATGTGCTGACTGGTGTACAATCTATAAGTCAATGTGCTGACTGGTGTACAATCTGTAAGTCAATGTGCTGACTGGTGTACAATCTATAAGTCAATGTGCTGACTGGTGTACAATCTATAAGTCAATGTGCTGACTGGTGTACAATCTGTAAGTCAATGTGCTGACTGGTGTACAATCTATAAGTCAATGTGCTGACTGGTGTACAATCTATAAGTCAATGTGCTGACTGGTGTACAATCTGTAAGTCAATGTGCTGACTGGTGTACAATCTATAAGTCAATGTGCTGACTGATGTACAATCTATAAGTCAATGTGCTGACTGGTGTACAATCTGTAAGTCAATGTGCTGACTGCTGTACAATTTAATAACTATTTAGTGTACACTCTTCTGGCGTGTGCGGAATAAACACCCAGTGATGTTTTCCTCAGTTCGTTAGATCTGATGGCCAACTTTTTTGAGTCTTCGATTTTGGTGAGGTTGTAGTACTGATTGAAGAAGAGGGTTGGAGTGATTTTCTAGTTTGCTGCAGTACTTGGTGCTGTTTTCTCGGATGACTTCTGTTACGTAAGGATTTTTTAGATCTGTATGTAGTGTGCGGTTGGATACATACCGTGGTGCGTTCGTAATGGTTCGGAGTATTTTGGACTGGACACGCTGTATAATGGCCATGTTGGATTGTGTGTAATGTATCTGCAGAATTATTGGAACGAAAATCATGCCCATATAGCAGATGTATAATTCCACTGGTTGTTTGTTATATTCAGTTTTTGTCCCATTTTATATTTGTGATGTACTTACTTCTGTCCATCGGAATTTTTGTTCTTACTGAGATTAATATTATGCCAAAAAATAATTAACTGGTGTTCGTAATACATAGGCGCAGGTATATAAATGACTGTATTTTTGGTTTCAGAAATAAATATGAAGTATGAAAAGTCAATTAAAGTGTTTTAATTCCGGTTATAACCACAAGGAAGGAGCCGGGATAACTCCGTCTGTACAGCGACAGGCTTCGGGCTGAAAGGCGGGGGTTAAATTCCCTGCGTCAAGACTGGTTCTCAGGCTCACCCAGACTCCTGTACGTTGGGTCCTGGAAGCCCTTTCCTCACGGCTAAGGTGGCAGTGGCGTGAAGCTGACCACTAATCTAGTGACGAGATTATCCACACAGTCGCATATTTTGAGAATGTAAAAATTGCAAATGCCTGGCCACAAGAGAGGCAGATGAAGGCTGTAGCATTAGTCCTATAACATAAAGAAGACATTTGAAATGTATGGATTTCACCTAGAGTTTGTAAAACAATGAACGGAAGGAGGTTACAGTAGATGGAGATAAGGGTTGGCTGTGAAAGCACAAAATGCTCTCAGTTTTTTATCTAAGACGACTCTTGAAAGAGACTAATTTCTGAGATCGGAAAGATGGCACTGTAATGTTAACATAAGTCCTGCGGAACTGTGATGGAATTGAACCGCTTCCAGTTCTTGACCGGTAGTGCCATCTGGTAACTAAGATGTTATTTAAAAATAAAACTATCCCTGTAACAGGCCATGGAAGCCCATAGGGTTGTGAGATGTTGAGGTTCCCAAATTTTGTAGACAATTGGCTCATATTTTATTTTTTACTGAAAACCGTCACAACACAACAATCAATAATACGTGTAAGTAGCTCTAGGAGATACTGAGCCTTGTCATGAGAGCACCAACTTCAGCAATTGTAACCAAAGCATTTATACAATACCTCGAGCACACAGCAATTATTGACATTTTGAGAACATTCCAAATAATAAACTATTACAGATATGTCGATGATACTTTAATCATTTATAATCCTCACATAACTAATATTGATAATACATTGTGCGAATTCAACAAGATACGCCACAAAATTCGATTTACTATGGAAAAAGAAACAAACAACAAAATCAGTTTTTTAGATCTCTTCATCGAAAAAACACACAATAATTTGCAATTTGAAATTTATAGGAAAACTACAGCTAAGGACTTAGTTAGTCACAATGATGCAGGCCATCCTTATGAACATAAAGAAGCCGCAATAAATTTCCTCGTCAATCGTATGAATAAATATTCACTTTCACACAACAACAAAAACAATGAAGAAACCATTATTAGAACAATACGTAATAATAATAATTACCCACAAAACACCATACAGCAAATATCGAAACCCTCTGTAAAGAATAATACGCATAAGAAAATTTGGACCACCTTTACCTTTTTCGGACCCGAAACTAAAGCAATTAGTAAATTATTTAAGAATACTGAAGTTGATATCTGGAGAAGTTCATGGAGGTAGGTATCTCATTTATAATCAGGAACAATATCAAACACTTACTGAGAATGCATGAAAATACGAATGGTAAATTTAACTTGAGCGGAATATGCCAATTACAGTGTGCAAAAGTCCACAGAAATGTATAAGACAAACTTGGCGTACATTCAAAATTAAATTTAAAGAACGGTGGACAAAATTCCAAATTGTCCCAGCACATAGTAGACACTATCCACGAATATCGAACAATAGATCAAACTATGGACATTTTGTACATCGGAAAGAAAGGTCGAATGTTAGATACTCATGAAAGATTTCATATATACGAAATCAGCAAGCAAAATATCCANTCAAACACTTACTGAGAATGCATGAAAATACGAATGGTAAATTTAACTTGAGAGGAATATGCCAATTACAGTGTGCAAAAGTCCACAGAAATGTATAAGACAAACTTGGCGTACATTCAAAATTAAGCATTCCATAATGACATACGTCCCAAATCAGTTGTAATGTATCTCTCCATCAAATCGGACATTTACACAACAGAGTCGCCCGTCAAATAGTAAGAAAACTACACAACCACAATAATTCAGTCAATACCATATATAATCAGTAAGTAATTCAACAGTAGTTACCAATGGTATATTATTTCCAGGTACCAAATATTAAATAATAACATACAACATAACAGCGGGCCTCCGAACCCCACATCAGCCAATGTGTATATAATATGCCCATATAAACATTGCATATATCACGATTACAACTGCCAACTTCCAAATACCATCACAGATACAACTTTTAACTGTACTTTTGACTATGTAACTGGTTATTTAAGACTTCAAATTTTATTGTAATTTATATTTTATATTCTCTCATATCATTTTATACCACTGTATACACTTGGAAGTTTAGTACTGTATCCTGTATTTGACATGCAATTCAGTAAAGAAAAGTTTAATGTATTTGCCTGATGATGGCCTTTGAAGGCCGAAACATGCAGCAAAAATATCTCCTACAGCTACTTACACGATTTATTGATTGTTGTGTTGTGACGGTTTTCAGTAAGAACTAATATGATACACAACAGGATGCATTCGCTGAAAATGTGGTCATAGATGGCGGCAAGGTTGTCAGCCCTACACGCCGGTCGCCCTTTACCCCCAAGAATATTCCTGGTACTCATTTATGTTAGAGGCTGAGTCGACCTCAGGGCCATAGTGCGGCTGGAAGGATTAGTTCAATTGAAAAATCCGGTGACCTCATCGGCACTTGAACCCGCGACCTTCCGACTTGTAGCATAGTGCCCCAACAAACTACGCTACCGCATACCCCGAGATGTTATTTACTTGAATTGCATTGTCAGAAGCTTTTGGGGTTTTTTAGTATTTAGCTTCAATTAACAGGACAGAGTTTGTTACGTTTTCCAAAATATACCGTTATTTCAGTTGTTAAAACTGTATCAGTATTGTAATGTACTCATGTTCTTAAAACCACATACACAGTTTACCTACGTCATATGTAGAAAAACTGACGTCACCTCAGGCTGAAAGTATGGCTGTAGGTTTGTTTTCTCATCAGGATCTGTCCACGTCTATTGGCTTCGTTAGCCCCACTGTTGGGAAGAAACAATAAACAACAGAAATATAACTCTTTTATTTAGACACATTTTTATCCAAATTTCCCTAAGGGTGGAGAGAGAGTAGGAGGATACAGAATATTGTGTCCGTGAAGAGAAATACAGTGGCAGCAAAACATACACATGTCCTTATCAACGAAATGTCGGTATGGAATGAAATTCACTCCCGCCACCAGGCACGAAAAATTGACCTCACTGCTTACCAATCTGTGGCGAAATTATTCTTTTCCCTGCCGAAAAAATCATTACGTTATACTGTAGACCTGTGGTTCAGAAACAAACATTTGCAGTGTAAACTGATTGATTCTTAAAAATGTTAACGACACCTTCTCAACTGCAGAAGTTATGGACGTGAAAGGTCGAATTGTATGGCGATTATGAATCATGAACTACGACATGTGTGATCTATAGTTAAGGCTTTGGGGCGGGGGATCACAGAAAGAATACCTGGTCCCTGGACCGAGTATCAAGCCAAGGGTAGGAAGCAAGGGATCCAACCAACCCCGACTTTCAATTTCCCATATGAGTGCTCAGAAAATGCGTAAGAATTTTTAAAATTACACACGGCAAAGCTTAATGATGTAATCTTTACTGAGCTTAATCGGAGTTTCCGAGAGAATCCCAAGATTGAAAACAAATTCAACAATTTAAATCCCGTCCCCTTTGCATTGTACATAAAGGTATCCTTATTAGAGGGTCATGATTCAGGTCATGAGAATTGATTCGGGCACCGGAGAAAGAGGATTTGAATTTAATTAATACCTCTAGGCTTGAACTTTTATGTTTAAAGGACACAGGTTTGCATATGCAGTAGAACTTGGTTATAACGTCACCAAAGGGACCTAAAAATAGTGTCGTTATAAACGAATGTCGTTGTAACCGAAATGGACACTTCCACAGTAGCCTTATGTTAGTCACGTAAAAATCTACCAAAAACCGAGTTAAAATGTTGCATTTTTTTTAGTGAAATACGTAGTTAAGTTCAGACTAACATAACATTAACATGGAATTGCCCAAATGTGTAATATCAAAGACATATTACAGCGCTTTTCACTGACAATACACACCGCACTAATACTGTATATTAAAGGTAGGCCTACTCACCAAATTACAGTAGATTACATCAATTGTTATGCCTTACTGTACCTAGATACGAGTACAGTAATCAGTTATCTTCATCTGTTTCCTGTTACTTGCCCAATACACACTTTCTAAATTACGTTCAATGTCCATATCAGAGAAATTCAGGAATGAAAATGACGTTACATACGAGGTTGATGCATTTGTGCATGTCGTACTAAGCAAGGTATAAAAACAGTTGCTTTATGAGGAATTAGTTCGTACCATTGAATATTTGACGCAATAGACAAGGTGTCGCAGAAACCGATGTTGTTATAACCAAGTTTTACTGTACTTTAATATCTTAAATATATTCGTAAATTTATACTATATATAATTTGTCGTTTTACCGTTTTCTTTGACTTCTTGCACAGGATCGTAAACTCCTTCAGGATAAAATTATAGAATAATTGTTGGTCATGTCCAGTGTGATTCAGTTTGTAGATATTTATTGCCTTTACATGTTTCGGTCAGCTGACCATCTTCAGAGGCCATAAGTTCAACATGTTCAGGAACTACAAAGTTCGTAAACTTAGAAGATTTTTTATATAAGTTATTTACAAATATTTGGAATAAAATCTTATTGATGTCTATATATTTAAGATCTTGAACCGATATGGTTTGTGTCCTTGTGCCTCTTCTGTTAAAACGGAAAGTTGGTGTCCTCAGAGATTCATGCACTAATGGCCTTTTCTATATCTTGTTAAGGTTCTGCAATTATTATGGGTATTACATATAAGTATATTTATCATTTCTCTGACCCCGAATTTATTTGAAATGTATCTGATGCGTTCCTACCTGTGTTGTGATGTCTAGTTGCTTCCCCTTTGGCCGTGTGTTGAGGCACTGTTTTGCCGTGTGCTGTGTAGCGTATTTATATCCCTGTTCCAAGTGACGCGCCTGTGCACGTGTACCCAAGTCTTATTTCAATGTCAGGCATACTGTTCAGGTGTCGTCTTCTTCTGGGCTCTTTAGTTGTTCTGTTAATACATTAAGCTATTTAAGTTGATATACTCGTATATAGTAATTTTTCTTTATATTCATGATATTCCTTTTCTAGTGTATTCGATCATTTATTTCCCTGATCCCTTCCTCAGGCCCGTGTTTCTGGACATTACCTCATGCATCTGTTCCTCAGGCTCGTGCTGCTAACCTTTACTTCATGGATCTGTTCCTCAGGCCCGTGTTGCTGACCTTTACCTCATGACTCTGTTCCTCAGGCCCATTCTGCTGACCTTTGCCTCATGGATCTGTTCATCAGGCCCGTGCTGCTGACCTTTACCTCATGCATCTGTTCCTCAGGCCCGTGCTGTTTACCTTTACCTCATGCATCTGTTCCTCAGGCCCGTGCTGCTGACCTTTACCTCATGCATCTGTTCCTCAGGCCCGTGTTGCTGACCTTTACCTCATGAATCTGTTCCTCAGGCCCGTGCTGCTGACCTTTACCTCATGAATCTGTTCCTCAGGACCGTTCTGCTGACCTTTACCTCATGGATCTGTTCCTCAGGCCCGTGCTGCTGACCTTTACCTCATGAATCTGTTCCTCAGGCCCGTGCTGCTGACCTTTACCTCATGGGTCTGTTCCTCAGGCCCGTGCTGTTTACCTTTACCTCATGCATATGTTCCTCAGGCCCGTTCTGCTGACCTTTACCTCATGGGTCTGTTCCTCAGGCCCGTGCTGCTGACCTTTACCTCATGAATCTGTTCCTCAGGCCCGTGCTGCTGACCTTTACCTCATGGGTCTGTTCCTCAGGCCCGTGCTGTTTACCTTTACCTCATGCATATGTTCCTCAGGCCCGTTCTGCTGACCTTTACCTCATGGGTCTGTTCCTCAGGCCCGTGCTGCTGACCTTTACCTCATGAATCTGTTCCTCAGGCCCGTGCTGCTGACCTTTACCTCATGGGTCTGTTCCTCAGGCCCGTGCTGTTTACCTTTACCTCATGCATATGTTCCTCAGGCCCGTTCTGCTGACCTTTACCTCATGGGTCTGTTCCTCAGGCCCGTGCTGCTGACCTTTACCTCATGAATCTGTTCCTCAGGCCCGTGCTGCTGACCTTTACCTCATGGGTCTGTTCCTCAGGCCCGTGCTGTTTACCTTTACCTCATGCATATGTTCCTCAGGCCCGTTCTGCTGACCTTTACCTCATGGGTCTGTTCCTCAGGCCCGTGCTGCTGACCTTTACCTCATGAATCTGTTCCTCAGGCCCGTGCTGCTGACCTTTACCTCATGGGTCTGTTCCTCAGGCCCGTGCTGTTTACCTTTACCTCATGCATATGTTCCTCAGGCCCGTTCTGCTGACCTTTACCTCATGGGTCTGTTCCTCAGGCCCGTGCTGCTGACCTTTACCTCATGAATCTGTTCCTCAGGCCCGTGCTGCTGACCTTTACCTCATGGGTCTGTTCCTCAGGCCCGTGCTGTTTACCTTTACCTCATGCATATGTTCCTCAGGCCCGTTCTGCTGACCTTTACCTCATGGGTCTGTTCCTCAGGCCCGTTCTGCTGACCTTTACCTCATGAATCTGTTCCTCAGGCCCGTGCTGGGCATAGGCTGAGTATTCTATGTACAACCGTGGCTTCATGGCAACCATAGCCTTGCCATATTTCTACAGGTTCAACCAACGAGTGTTTAAGCTAACTGCATGTAATTTCTTGTCGATTCATTGTGTGTATGAGCCAGGAAAGTATATTTGCTACTTCGGACAGAAAGCGTATTTATGCCGCATCTTCTCTAATTGAAGTCTTTACTTCGGTGTAAGAACTGAGGCGCCTACTGTTGCAGTACGCCGTCATGTTCAGGGTGAGAAAGTTTTCAGTGTCTCGACTTAGCGCGTTCTGCCTCCAGCTTCTGTTTGAGACCATTACTGACGTTTAGGAGGAACTTGTTGCATCAGTCTTCATGGTTAAGCGACCATAGAGATGGAACTAAGGTAGAATTTTCTTTCAGAAAGCTGCCATCTAAACCCTGAAAACTGACATAGTGCTTTGCTTTACTTTTGTGTCGAAACGCTGAACTTAGTTACAAAAGTTTCTTTGAAGACGATGGTACCACAATCCTGAAAATGAAGACAGCATGACCCTACGAAACGTCGGCATCTATATTCTGAAAATAGAAGTAGCGCTGTTATTTAATCCTGAATTCGGAGGCAAAAAATTATCCTGAAACGCTGACACCTAAAACATGAGCATGGAGGCAGTACGTTCATAAGAAACCTTAGTACAACATTGCACATTCTAAGAGTCTGAACAATATTGGAATGGGATTGTTATTGCATAGGTAGATCTTGTATCCCAGCCTCTGCTAATCATGTTTCTTCCATCGCTAACGCCACCAGAGGCCTTCTTTCTTGAGCAGCTGATAGTTGCTCAGATTATCTTGATGTTCTCAGATCTTATGAAACTCGATATCCCATTACAAATGGCCGCTATTAGACAATCCACAATTGATGTCTCAAATTTGTGATCTAGCGAGTCCCTGTTTTTAATTTTGGTCTGGAGACTGGGTACTAATACTCAAGTTTTCTCACCGTTTTCCTCAGCCCATTCAGGTAAATTAGCGTTCGAAATTAAGCCACGACCACTTCCTTCCACGTCCTTTGAAATTTATTCACCAGTTCTCCTATAATGGAACTGTGTACAGTCTGAGCACAGTGAGTGAATAAATCAATAAATAAGATTTCCTGAGCTCGACCCTACGAAACTCAAGCAGTTCATACCCGTAAGTGCTAGGGCACACCAAGGAAAGTAGCAACTGCAACGCAACCGCAATTTTCGAGAATTGTTATCAGCTAGAATGGAACACATGCTACCTAATGGAGCAGCGAAAATTGAGGAAACGGCAACCCAACTCGCGGAAAGACTGAGGAACTCAACTTCCAGGCAACAGAGCATGCCAGTCTTCTCACAATTGCGTTGCCGCGTGGTGTCCTAGTATCCGCTGTTCTGTGACGCGCTTCAGTAATTTATTTGTTTGTTAAGGCGGCACGAAAGGTTGATGAAGCTGCTAATTCTGTTTTTATGCAGTTAATTGAACAAGAGCCTGGTATATATGACAAACGACACTCAGACTATGCTAGGCAGAACAAAATAGATTTGGCTTGGGAAAGAATTTCTCATGGGACGAAGGAGTCTGGATCCTAGTTAAGTTCTTTCGAAACTCCAAGTCCCTCAGTTTAAATTGTTCCAGAAGAACGGATGAACCAAATGTTTTATTTTCCTATTATTGGATTTAAGCATCTGTTACATTAATATATCATTTATTTCATATATATTTCCGCCTTAAATACAACTTATTTTATAGTCACCTTTCTTCCACATTACATGATTCGGCTATATACGGCCATCATCAGGTGCCTTGTATCTGCTAAAATTGTTGCACTGTATGACAAAATTTCCAATCGTGTGTGAAGGTGATATTTCCTTATTAAAATAAATTGAACTTAATTAAAGCAAGTTAATTAACATCCCAGTACTTTCTTATGGTCGTCCTCTCTTCTCACGCCGTCTCAACCGCCACCACATTGTGACAGGATCAGTATTATTATCTTCCACTGCAGAAGGCAAGTGCACGAAATTTAAAAAATACAGTCATGCATTACGTCGGACGAACATACCCACTGAAGCTGATGTGAGCAACCAATCAAACAGAAGTTTCCTCAGTGTGTGCCTTCTAAGGTGGAAACCAGTCGCCTACTTGAAACAGGCGACATTTGTCGGAAATTGCAGTTGCGTTGCAGTTACCAGTTCCTTTTTATGCCCTCGCCGTAAATGCTCACACCAGGAATATTAAAGAAGATTTTCTTCCACACGTAAACTAAGGAGCTAATTTAATACTGCCTAATTTCTAATTATTAAAATAATTAATTATAAGTGCAAGATTCTTTTATTTATTAATGGCAAATGCGATATCACTTTTCTCTATGCAGTTGAATCTGTCTTCATCTTCCTATACGGTTAATCGTAATGGTGCTGGGTGGGAAACTAGTGCGAATGCGCTGGTTGCTGATAGTGCTACTTCTGCCGATAAGTGGATCTGCCAACAGTGATTGCCGTTATTGCTTACATAAGTTGGAGCTCTGTGTTCGAAATTGTTGCGCCTGAAGGATAAAGAGGTAACTGAATTCGATTTTTTAAGGAAGAGAGGAAGACGCGGGGTGAAGGTAACAGGGAGAAGCGGAGAGGGGTGACGGTACGATACGAAAGACATGATTCGCCGCTGTATTTCAGCTGGCTGCTCCGCTGGTTCAAATTTATACCCAACTCTAAAGCAGAGTAAAGTAAAGCAAAATAACATTGAAGTTTGTTGAACTTTGTTTCATTATACACGTAATATTATCACGTGATTGAATGTCTACAGACGAGGTTCAGATTGGCAACCGGATTTATTGGACACAGACCTAGCGCACATATGTAATTTTTAGTTTAACGATTGTTGGCCGACAGTTGTCCACGTCGCCGAGAACCATTGCGTTTAATGGGAGTGCAGACACATCACGATAGTTGTTCCAGCAGTCGTCGAGCAGTTGGATTCCACCTCAACTGCCCGCCGACCCAGCTGTTGTTGAGAACGCCGGCGTACACGAGCTGTTATGAGAGTGCAGACACATCACGATAGTTGTTGCAACAGTCGCCGAGCAGTTGGATTCTACCTCAACTGCCCGCCGACCCAGCTGTTGTTGAGAACGCCGGCGTACACGAGCTGTTATGAGAGTGCAGACACATCACGATAGTTGTTGCAACAGTCGCCGAGCAGTTGGATTCTACCTCAACTGCCCGCCGACCCAGCTGTTGTTGAGAACGCCGGTGTACATGAGCTGTTATGGGAGTGCAGACACATCAC